GGTATTATATTATAATATTATATTGCCATGAATTCGTAGATATATTTTGTCGTTTACTATTTTAAAAATGTTTATTTTTAAGGTTATATTTGTACAACTAGTGAACTTATGAACTTTATTGACTGCTGGAAAAATATTGTTTCTGCAGTTATGTATAATATTTTTTATTTAGCTTGTAGAAGTGTATACAGTTATTAACTAATTTTTGTTTAAAAAAAACCTAAAACATTTTGGTGACAAGCATTTTAGTTGATGTCCCTTAATATAAAATGTCCAATCCGTGACGCCATTTTCACACAATATAATATTCACAACTCGGCAACGCTTTTTCAACAAGGTAAAATACCTATTGTAGTTTGTAGTACCTGTCAAAGTTAAACAAGGTGAGTAACTTATTTTATGTTTATAGGTGTAAATAAGAAATAATTAATTAATATATGAGTGCGTACACTTATTAATAGGCTTTTCTGTGACACTTGCTAGAGTATCAGTTTCTTTTACCAATTTCTTTAGATGTAAACCATTCTGAGTAGTTTATCCTAAAGCTAAGGATCGCGAAACATGTGCTTGCGTCAAACATGAAAATTTTGGTTTTATCACCCAAAAACTATATTTCGAGAAAATTTTAAACACACAGAAGATGAAATCGTTAAAGAAAATTTTCAAATTAATCTTAAAAAAGAAGAAAAGGCTGATATTTTAAATATAAAACAGTAAAAAATAATCATCGAAGAAAGTATAATAAAAAATGTAATTAAAAAAAATTAAATTAATACAATAAAAAACAATGAAAATTCGTAAAAAAATACAATCTAGTTCGATCATGTATGACAAGCATAAAATATTCAATATTTGATTAATATTCTATAGAAATAATATGTAATATATCTAATTTATAATAATTATAATTTTTTTAAATAAAATTAGGGTAAAGGCACCAGTGAATGATCAGTCACCAGTAAATGAACAATATCCTATTATTCTTTAAAAATTAAGAATATCGCTTGTTTGGCAAAATTAGCCTTTATGCGCATGGCTAAAACGTTCATTTTTCTTTTTGCAAAAACATCAGTTTAGAAAGGCGAAGTGCGAGTGAGGTGTGCAAAGGAAACCGTAATAAGGCAAGTGCTGATGCACCATGAACATTTTAATTACGTAGATTGTTCTACTTTGGCATTAAGCTACTAACTATTGTACTTTAACAAGTATAAAGGTTTAAAAGCCCATTTAAATACTAAAACATAAGATAAGTTCATGCTTTATATAAAATTAAGCTTTGTTCATTTACAGGTTCACTATTTGTATAAAAATCCAGTAAATGAACGTTCTGTTCATTCACTTGGTAGAGATTGCGAATCTAACCTCAAAATAAGCATATTACTTTTAGGACTAGTAAATGAACAGGGGTGTTCATTCACTGGATTTTCATACATATAGTACATGAACAAAGCTTAATTTTATATAAAGCATGGATTTATCTTATGTTTTATAATTTTTATGAATGAAATTAACAATTTTAAACACTGACTTTATTTTTTTAGATGCCGATACAAAAAACCTACCTCAGATTTCGGTATTCCGAAGATCAATTGAAACTAGCAATTGAGGAAATTCGTACCGGGAAAATAAGTTTAAATGCAGCTTCAAAAAAATACAATATACCCAAGTCTACTTTAAGCAACAAAACAAGAAATGTTGTGCCACTTGAGCGAAAAATGGGGCCACCTTCCATTTTATCTAATGAAAAGGAGCAAAAATTAGAAGACTGGATCATAGCCAAAGCAAAACTAGGAATTCCTATGCACCACAATGAGGTCCAAATAGCTGTTCAAAACCTAATAAAAGCAACCGGCCGTGAAAATCCTTTCACCAAAAAACAAACCAGGAAAGAAATGGTTACAATTGTTTTTAAAGAGAAGACCTCTCATAGTAAAAAGAAATACAGAAATAATTTCTAAAGCTCGGGCAACGGTTACCGAGGATTCAATTAGGAGCTGGTTTTCTGATTTGAATGCATTCCTCAGAGAGGAAGGACAAGAAGGTATTATGAGGGATCCTACAAAAATATTCAATGCCGATGAAACTGGTGTGCAGTTTTGTCCAAAAACAGGAAAGCTTTTAGGACCTAAAAGTTACAAAAACTTTTATAAAGTGAGTAGTGGACCAGAAAAGGAAAGTATGACGGTACTTTGCAATTTCTCAGCTGCTGGTTCAATAGTACCGCAAATGATTATCGTGCCTTACCAGCGAGTACCACGGGATGTAGCTCAGTCAATACCAGATTCCTATTTTATTGGAAGATCTGACTCGGGTTGGATGGTCTCTGAAACTTTCTATGAGTACATTAAAAATTGCTTTTACCCCTGGTTAATAGAAAATGATATTGAACTGCCAGTTATTTTCTTTCTGGATGGCCATAAATCACATAAAAGCATAGAGCTATATAAATTTTGTGTTGAAAAGATGATATACCTATATTGTCTTCCACCTAATGCTACGCATATAATTCAACCATGTGACGTAACAATATTTAAGCTCCTGAAGACAGCATGGAAGCGTGTGGTCCACGAACATCAACAAACAACCAGAAAATACATTACGAAAGGAACATTCGCTTCTCTTTTCGACAATGCATTTACATCAATCAAGGCTGATGTCATTAGAAATGGCTTTCGATGTTGTGGGTTATACCCTCTAGACCCCAATGCAATAAACTATGAGAAAACAATAACATTTAGAAGAAATGAAATGTTTCCAAGGGAACCAACTTCAAATGATTCTCAGCCACCCAGCGAAGATGATCTAAAAGCGACAAAAAAGGTTCTGCAATATTATTTTAAAGATAAGTGTAGTGATCCATCCTCAGATATTTATAGCATTTATCAAATATGTGCTATTGAGGAGGCTCCTATCGACGTACTCAAGGATGGTGAACAAAATATGATACCTACAGAATTCTTGATAGACAATTTATCTATACAATTTGATTATATGCTCTTCGATCCAATGAACACAGTATTTAATGATGAATATGTAAACCAAGCGGAAGAAATAAAAAACGACATTGAAGAACTGGATGAAGAAAATACAACAGAGAAGAAAGAAGTTGAGAAACCCCATGAAGACATTACAATAGAGAAAAACGGAGTTAAGGAACCGGATGAATGCAATACAATTGAGAAAAACAAAGTGCGAGTTGAAGTTTGAAACCTAAATGATAAAAGAAAAATAAACGTAAATGAGTTTGACAAAGAAGAGTCTACCAAAGACACAGACATGGAAAAAAGCGATAAAACTAAAAAAATGAAGAAAACAAGACCAAAGATACAAATCTAGATAAAGACGACAAAATCGAAGAAATAGCTATGAAGGACATTTTTAAAATAAGAGGTCCAGATGAAAATGATTTCTTTGAGACAAACGCCCTAGCAAATAGTACAAAAGAACATAATAACAGCCCAGCTGAAAACGTTTTAACAAATTGTGATATAAATGCAACCACCTGTGATACTAAGACTAAAAATAAAGTAAGTATCAATAATCCTAGTATATTAAAACAAACGAAAGAACAAAATAGTGATGTGCCAAAGATCATAATATTAAATGATATTAAAATAGTAGAGCCTAGTACAAGTTCTGCGGAAGATATTTGGAAAAATGTTTTGCGCTGGCCAAGAATCGAAGAAACTAAGAAAAGAAATAAAAAGGCGACAAGTATAATGTCATTTGCTTTAACTTCAAAGCAGTGGAAAAACTATTACGATGAAAAAGAAAGAATCAAAAATGATAAATTGATTTCTGTTAAGCAGAAGGCGGATGATATATAAAGAAAAGCAGAAGAGAAGGAGAGAAATTCGAAAAAAATAAAAAAAAGTAAAATGAAGTCCAAAGAAACCAAAAACGAAGTGGTTAGCCGAATACATGATGTCCGTAAAAGAAAACTACAATCCGAGAAGGAACCCGAGAAGGAACCCGAAAAATTCAACAAAGAGGAATACCAAATAGATGATTTTGTTGTTGTGCGATATGGCGAAAATTTATTTCCTGGACAAATTACCGATAAGGATGAAGAATATGAGGTGTCTACCATGACAAAAGTACAAACAGGTCTGTGGAAATGGCCAAATAAAATGGACAAAATCTGGTACAAAAAGGTGGACGTCTTGAAGCAAATCCCAATTCCGGAAAAATACAATCCAAAAGGATTTTATAAAATAAATGGAATGGATAATTCCTTTGAATAGGTGTTCATTCATTGGAGCAGTAGGTGTTCATTTGCTGGAATTTACTGTTCATTTACTAGGGTTTTTGATATTTTCATTTTTGTTATTTTATAACAAAAAATATAATTTTCTTGGAGAAATATTGTTTATTTCCATGTTTTCAATAAAGTATTGAAATTTATTTCGACTAGTACTATCCCTTTAACCCAAATAGACTTTTAGAATGACATAAATTTGCAGAATCAGTTGCTTAAATGTTCGTTTACTGGTGCCTTTACCCTACTATGCAATTGAAACTTTGCGAACAAAATTTGTCGAGTAAGACTTTTGCCTTTTTTGCGAAAAAACTACATATTTATTTAAAAATGATGTGCATTCCGTATTTTTAAATGTATTGTTGACAATTTTTGAATTTCCACTATGCTATGGAGCGCCACCAGATAGCGCGCGTTGCGAAAACCCGATACTTCTTTAGCGTATAATGTAATAAAATAAAATAACAAAAAACTAAAATTTCGAATTTTTTTTTTGTGAAAAAATAATGACAGGCATAAGTGGTAGATATATAGTATATATAGTAGTAGATATATAGTATATCAAGCTACATTGCATGCATCTTTTATGTACAGTTAGGATTTCCATAATTTGAGGCTAATAAAACCGAGATTTGTAAACGGAATCCCCCTGTCACGTCGATATTGAATAGAAAATGCCGCAGAGAGCTAATAACTTTAATATAAACAAGATGTTCATTAAAATACTTTATTTAGATACAACTATACACTAACATCTATTTATTACGTCTGATGGCCTCAAGTCTTCGCGTTAAAGCTGTAGGTATATTCCGCCTTTTCATATCTTTATGGAAAATATTTACATCGACTTGGGTCAGTACTTTTTTAGTTTCCTTCTTTTCAACAGGAGATTTTCCATTTAGAGCCTTGAAAACCGTTTTCTGTTGGTGATTTTCAAGGGTTACTTTATAAACATTACCAAACTCTTCATCGTTCATTATACTTTGGTAATATACTTCCATATCCGATGGTAGAACACTGTAGCCTATATTGGAAACTTCCAGTGAAAACATAAGCCAATTTTTCACACAATCGTCTTCAGTGGTCAGTAAATTCGTTCTTACATCTAAAATTATTTGCTTAAACTTCTCCCTTTGATTCTCTTTTAAGGAAACACCGTTTAGGAACATTTGCGACGCAAATAATTTAACATTTTTTACTTCCTTCGACTTCAATAACAAACTCAGCAGTGTTATCAAAGGTCCGCTTAGAAACACTAAAACCTCACCTGAAGCAGTGCGAGCTTTGTTGTAAAAAAACCCAAGTATTCTTACGGACATTCTGGAACCATCATCCTTTACAAAGCCTGATTTCTTGGTAGAATCGAAGTTTTTATGCATATATCTAACGAATAACGAACGGACGTTCTCCCCTGCTACTTCGAGCGTCACAAATTTCTTCGATGTCAACAATAGCAAAACTTTTGCTGACAAAACTGCATCCTTCAGGCTATTTTTGTACAGAGACTTGACGCTTTTTTGTACATCCTCTTTGGTCGGGCAGTTCGCAGTCCATTTTTCTAGAATGAACCTTATTTTTTGGTTAAAACGAATTCCATCATCGTTTATGTCCAAGAATTTGATTCTCGATTGGAGTTCTGAATTTGCTGACATGGTTGTTGTTCACTCTGTAAAACTTGTTTATATAATGATTTGTTTGATATGGGTGTGGAATTATATAATTATTATCTCTACCTATTATCTGTTGAGGTATGTTAGTGCAGTTGCAATCATTTTTAATATTTTTACCTTAAGTATTGTATTTTTGGGTAAGATATAATTATACCTGGCGAATTCAAAACATATTTTTAGTGTAATGTCATAAAATTAAAAGTAATAGATATCAAAATAAAAAGCACATACCTATCATTGACGAATTTAAAAATGACGATATGCTAAAATAAATAGAAATAAATACAAATTTTAGTAATGATTTTCGTGAAAATTGTAAACATTTCAATTCAGTAAAAATCATAAAACAAGTAATGCAGAAACGTTGATTTGTTTATATCAACTGATTTAGCATATCAGTGGATTTAGGTTTGTGCACGATATGGCAACGCAGTAATTTTCTTTAAAAACTATTATTTTATAAAATAAATTGGAAAATTATCTTTAAAACGTTTTTATTACATCTAAAACCATAATTTCTACACTCTAGAAATTAAATCCGCTTATATCAGTCCTGGTTGACTAGATTTGTTTTTTTTCCAATAAAATAATTTATACGACTGATTTAAAATATGGATAACAATACAGCATTTTTGTTTGTTTGAAAAAATATATTCAGAAGGCAAACAAACCTATAATAAAGATATAATTAAAAAATAACATTTTTTTAAACATATAATTTCTATTACGTTAATCATATCAAATATCTTGTGATGTTTTTTTTGCCTGACCAAAAAGCTGAATGCTTGAAATCAATTTATTAGTTTATTTAGTTCCATTGTAATAGAATTACCCTTAACTTGGGTGAAAATATTTATTGATACATTTTATTATTATTACAAACACACATACATAGGTACCTTCCATTAATGTTTACTTTTCAATAGAATACTGAGATAATTAAAAAAATACTATTATGATGTTTAATAAGCATATACATATAAATAAATATTTTTTTAAATAAATTTGTAACTTTATAAATTAAATTTATAAGTAGAAATAAATAAATAACTAGGGCAAAATATTATAAAATAAAATCAAAATTTTATTTCAAAAATATGTCTTAATTTTTTTAAATACTTTTAAAGAATTTTAAATATATTATAAGTTTGATTTCCATCGAATTTTCGCGTTTTTTTTAACATTTATGGTACAATTACACAGCCACACAAAAAAAAATTTGTGTTCTGATCTGGGGGCCTGACCATATTTTCTATATATTTTTGGGGTCGCTGAATCCGAATCCGAGGTCTATTTAACCCCATCACATCAGGATTTTGCCATAACCTTAAAAAACCCATCATATAAGCTATTACTATATATAACCCTGAGAATGTGGTTTTAATATAAAAATCCAAGCTCTTAAATATCACAACTTCATAACTCACATAACTCCATAACCCCATAACCCATTTAACCTCATAACTCAATGTACATCAACCACGTTTGTCAGATATTTAACTTAATATGTACGTTATTTTAATAACCGCATAACTTTAGTCTCTTCAAAGCTAAATGTCTGACATAAGGCACTGTTGGAATTGATGTTGATGGGGTTAAATGGGTTACAAGGTTATGGGTTTAAGTGGTTTATGGGATGGGGTTAAATTTTAACCGTTAAAATGGTTATTGGGTTTAATAGCTTGGGTTTTCAGATCACAATTTCATCCTAAGGATTATATGTTTAAATAGATGATGGGGTTAAGTGGGTCATGGGGTTATGGAGTTAAGTGAGTTTTAGGCTTATAGGGTTTAGGAGCTTGGGTTTTTAGACAACAACTTAATGTTTAGGGTTATATGCGTTTAATAGCTTAAATTATAGATTTTTTGAGGTTATGTCAAAATCCTGATGTGATGGGGTTAAATAGACCTTGGATTCGGATTCAGCGACCCCAAAAACATAAAAGAAATATGGTCAGACACCCAGATCAAAACAAAAAAAAAAATTTGTGTGGCTGTGTTATCATTATACGGGTGTCCCGAAATCAGGGGGCCAAACTTAAACAGTGTATTATTAATATAAAAATAACACTTTTTTTGTTTAATAAACATGTATCAAAAAATGCTCCCTAAAGGAGCTACGGCCCCCTGAATAGGAGCCTAAGAGGATAATTTTTTTTAAACTATTCCTAGAGGGTTGAACATGAACAAATGAATTTTCGGTACTTTGGTAATTTTGACATGCTGAATCTAGATCTATGATCAAAACTGTTAAAATTTAATCATAGGCGTAACATTTGGAGGGGGCAAAGTTACAAAAATAGCCCCAACTTTTTTCTGGGTTAATAATTTAATTTTTTTATGAAATTATGAGAATTTATAGTTTTTTACGAAAAATAGGTACTCTTGATTTGAATTGCTCAGATGCACCATTTTCTAGAAAAATGCATTTATAAATAAATTACTTTGCATATTATACACATCTCATATTTTCATTAAAACTTTGTAGTAGGTTTTGGAAAAAAGTGACGTTTTTTTGTTTTTTTGTTTTTTTGTTTTTTTGTTTTTTTTTACAATACTTTCTATGTTTCAGATATAAATATTTGATTTTTTTACTACATGATGCTAAAAGTTGAAAAAACGAGAAAATTCGATGGAAATCAAACTTTGGCCTCGAATAACTCTGGAAGAAATCAATTTATAGAAAAATTATAAGAGACATTTTTTATAGAGCGTTAAATTTACTATAAAAATCTAAGATGTTCCTTGCCATAAGTTGATTCGATATAGACGTATAAAATTCCAAAGTTAAAAAAAAAAAATTCCTATGTTATTTAAATGGGAAATAGAAAATTGCGATCCGCGACCTCTAAATCTTCAAATTAAAAGCTCAAATTTTAACGAGGTCTTTGTTTTGACATCCTCTGAAAGAATTTGCTGACCATTTGAAGAAAAAGAAAAAGTCGATTTTTTTGAAACACCCTAATATACAGTGTGTCCCGCTTAAGCCCTTACCACCCTCGTAAAATTTGCATTTTTCAACCGATCTTCGTAAACTTTTTTTTGTTGGATAGATCTCTGAAAAAGGCTTTAATCACATATGTTACTTGTTTTGACGACTAAACTCATGGCCAACTGTGATCTCTTGATGGGGTCGAAATTTCGAAAAGTACTATTAGGGATTTTTTCAGAGAAAAAGTGACTACGGATTATTGTTCGGGACCACTTAAAACCCCACTACACCAATTTTTATCGCTTTTAGATACAGGGTGTTCCAGCTGGACATGTTTTAATTTTTTGATAAAACCCTCGTAAAATTTTCATTTTTCAACGGATTTTCTTTAACTTTTTTTGTTGAAAAAGGATTATTCGGGACCACTTAAAACCCCACTATACAAATTTTTATCGCTATTAGATACAGGGTGTTTTTTTTTATAACAAAAACAATGACGCGAATTAAACACATTTAGTGGATATTTTAGTAATTCCGAATGCTCCCTAAGCAACAACTAAATTTACTATAGAGTAGTACAAAGAAACGTACACCAAAATTAATAAAAAAATTAATTTTAAATGGAAAATTAGCTGTAGGTATACGAATTAAACACGTTTTTATTGTATTAGAGCAACTCAAAAACAAACAATTAAAAAATAAAACAACTAACGATAATTAAATAGTAGTCATTTCAATTAGTCCACCATTTTGCATTTTGCATTTGTCTATGCGTCGTCTACAGTTGTTTACCACGCTTCCTAGCTGTTGCCTGGTTATACTGTGGCTAAGCCCACCGAATGCGATCGCAAAGTTCTTCTCGTGTTTGGAGTCTTGATTTATAAACCTTATTTTTTAAAGTCCCCCATAAGAAGAAGTCAAGTGGGGTGAGGTCTGGAGACCTAGGCGGCCAATTAATTACAGGGCTATCCTCACTTCAACATAGTTATGGATGTGTGCCCCGTCCAGCTGCAGATGTAAATTGAGGCAAACATTAAGGGGCAGTTCATCGATTTCATTATTTATTTCATTCTACAGAAATCTAAGAAAATTAGCTCTGTTCAAATTTCCATCAAAAAAGAAAGGTCCAATTAATCTTTCGTTCAATATTCCACACCAAGAGGAGTATTGCCTTCTATCACCCAGTTTGGATTTTCCTCACTCCACATTCTGGTATTTTGTGACGATACAATACCGTTTGTTGTAAATGTAGCTTCATCGGTGTATAAAATATTTTTGAGGAATGTAGTATTTTCTAAATACATACCTTGCAACCATAAACAGAATTCCATTCTTCTTTCAGGGTCGCCAGCTTCGAGTGTATGGAGAAATTTTGGCTTAAAGGGTTTCTTACCATTTTTTTTTTTCAAGCATTTCCAGAAAGTGTTTTTTCCTATATTTAAAACTCTACTTGCCCCTCTAATGCTTGAGCGAGGATTCTCATTAAAATAATCAAGAATTATTTGATTTGCTGGAACCTCACGGTTACGATGCTGATTGGAGAGTTTGTTTACATTTCCGTGTTCGTTAAAAAATAAATTAATTCTCCTAAAACTACGCATTCGGTCGCCTATAGGCCTACTAATCGTACAATTTCCACTTTTTCTTGTGGTTAAGCACTGCAATGCAAGTAAATCAGACAGTGATAGTAGTTGTTGATTACTTGTCAATTTTTTGTTTCCATAGTATACTTTGCTTAATTAATAGAATTTATTGTGCATAATTAGATGGTTAAATGATAATTTTGCCATTCGGATTTTAATTAATAGTACATTACAATACGAGACGGAAAGTGTTTCATTACGTATCTCTACGTCGCCAAAACATATGCATTTAAAGCCTTTTTCAGGGAACTATCCAATAAAAAAAGTTAAAGAAAATCGGTTGAAAAATGCAAATTTTACGAGGGTTTTATCAAAAAATTAAAACATGTCCAGCTGGAACACCCTGTATCTAATAGCGATAAAAATTGGTATAGTGGGGTTTTATGTGGTCCCGAATAAGCCTTTTT